GGCGTGAGAATCCAACCTCACATCCCTAGTCTGAACCAGCGGGCTGTATTATGTAGTGTTATGTAATTTTAAACAAAGCGTAGTGGCTTTGTCTCGGAGAAGGACTGGAAACATTTTAAATCAGTTTGGTTTAAAGTAATATTAGGGTAAAGGGCAGAGTAAATATGATCCTCTCTCTTTAGAACCAGAAGAACTTATTAAAAGTACTAACTTCTGGAACCACTGAGATCGTATCGTGACAGGCCCTCCGTTAAGTTGGTAGTAGCCCGCTTAAGACCAATTCTACGATACTCAGTGATTCCCAAGAATGTTAGTCCAACCTGTCATCTCCAGTATTGTTCCAGTATTCCTTGTGGAATCGTGATGTCCTGCATCGATGTACAGTCACCAGTTGTCCCTCATTCCAGGCTAAGACCTTAGTCCTAGAATCATGCGGGTATTCTGAGCAGCCGCTCAGTAATATCCATTTATCTGGAGGTTTCTTCTCCCACAGGATAAGAAATGATCTCCGTTTCAACAATGGGATTCCTTGACATCGTTGACTGACAGTCCCTGTCCATTTCCTCGCTTCGCCACGCCCTATTTGCATAGGGAGGGCCTGAAGTGCTCTCCGAAAAGGATGAGTTGTAGTCAGGTAGGATTCTCTTTTTCTACATCCGCAGATCCTGAAAAAATCTGTCACTAATCTCCTCTCAAATTGAGGGATATAGTCACTCATCATGACAGCATGCCGTGAGTGCAACTGACCACTGATGATTTCTTGAAGGAGTGTCCACTTGTTTCCTCCTCGGTGCATCCTTTCCCTTTTACAAATTGTCCGGGTGGAATTCTCTTTCATTAAGATCAGTCCAGAATCAGAGCACGAAATCAAGTCAGGGGGTACAGTCAAATCATTAGGAAACTTAGGGTTTCCTGCAGACAGTAAAGTGGCATTTCTTCGCAATGAAGTTTCCACTATCAGCTGAGATACCCCTGTCACTTCCTTCGAAGCGAAGAGTAATACAAGACCAGAATGTTGGGGTTCCCTACTATTTATGGCTTGTTCCGCTTCAGGGTCCTTCATCAGAAGTATCCCTGTCGCCCCAGCTGTACAGGATAGAGACAATTTGTCTCCCTGCACACAAGAAGTACCTTCTTCTTCATCAATGGCAAACATTTCTGTCTGTCCAGTATCAGAGTGCACAGGACTTGCAGCAATGTCCTGTTTACTCACTGTCTCTAAGGTCGTCAAGAACTTAAGAGAACTATCCTCCTTATCTGTTTTCTCCGCCCTGGTCTGGCTTTCACATACCAAGTCTAGTGGAGGCAAATAAGGGGATTTGTTGCTACCATCACAGTCAACTACTTTGGGCGAAAAGTCAGAACTAACTATTTCTATTTTGTATGCAATCACATCAAGGGAAATAGGGGGAACAGGTTTAGTGTTATTCCCTACATTAGTCTGCTTTACTTCCTCTTCTTGTTGGAAGGGACCAAAGGATCTATGGGAGTTGGGAAAGGCTTTGCCCTCGTCCTCATTAATGGCTGATGTGCCAGTCGAACCACTGTGTCGACGGTTAGTACAGTTATCACGCTTGTGATTACTGCGGGGTGTGCTCTCATATATCTCATCTGAGATAATGGGAGTAAGGGGTTCCAGCAATGTAGATCCGGTCCCTTTTGAAGATTTCTGCTTCTTACTCCATCTTTTCCTTTTAGGCTTAAGAATGGTAGTAAATGGGGCCAGCAATGTAGATCCGGTCATCCCTACAGAAAAGTTCTTCGTAATGTCAGCTCTTTTCCTATTAGGAATAAGAGGGGTGAGGCAAGGTCTTGGGTGGTCTATTACTTCATCCCTTGATGAAGTACCGTTTGGCAAAATAGTACACACCTCTCCATTGAGAGAGTGAGTCCCAGACCTTTCTACCAGAGTGTCAGTATGGGAGTTGTCAGTTCCCTCAACTACCCTAATAGTGTTCTCACCGTTCCCTGTGTCTAACTGCAGTTCTCTCTTCGTCTGCCTAAGTCGATAGTTATGCAGCTTTTCTTTAAAAAGCCTCATTCTTTCACTAGCTGCCTTCTCTAGGAGTTGCAACTTTCTAGCATCTTCTTCTTCTTCAAGTTGCCGCATTCTCTCTTCTTCTTCCCTCTCCGCTGCATGACGGGCAAGCATCGAGTCATATTCTTCTTTCTCCAACTGGCGCTTCTTCTCTGCAGCATTACGGGCACTCATGTAATCGAAAGTATCCATATGGCCTTTAACAAATGATTCTAACTGTGCTCCTACTCTACCTTCAACTATCCCGCACTTCCTTACATCTTTCTGGAACTCGGTGCGTAAGTCCATTATATCTTACTAGATCTATCTAGAGATAAATAAAATACTACCCCGAGTCCAGATTAGAAGAATATATCAGAGCAAGGTAAACTGGGCAAGAGAGTAGCCTATGACAGCCGCACAGAGATGTAAATGAATCAAAGTGGCCTACCAGACTGACAGCTTATAGATTAGTATAGCAGCACAAAGATTACACAAGTAAATGATGTAATGTGATCTTACAATCAGTCACTAAGCATACTATCAATGATATGATGTCAACATATATTGCTCTACAATCTATATCAAATGATGGAACATGCAAGCCAGCTCCATTGTTCACTTCTGACAAAACAGTCTACCGTTGCATATATATTTATGAGGTTCCAACTTAAGCCACCAATTTCCACCTGTATCCCTTGAACCTCTCGTCCACTGTGGTTCCACTGGCTCAAGTCAAGCACCACATGCTTCACTCCCTCCTTTACCACTAGACCTTGTCCATGTCTCTCCTGTCCAACAGGGTTTATATAACTGACGTACCCCGGGCAATGACATCTGTCTGTATTTAGCTCCTGGAGCATGATGACATCAAAATCAAAAATCAACCTCTCCAGTACAAGATCTCTCTGTCGAGCACTCCGACAGTTCCAGTATCCTACTCTTACATGATTAAAGCTCAATCTCTCCGCTTTTCGCCTTGTTCTCCTAGCACCCGCCCTCCTATTTCTATGCCTTCTTCTCTCCCCATTTCATCGTCGTCTCCTCCTCACTCCCTCTTCACTAACCGCTGAATAATGTGTCAAGCGCAGAGCACGTGCCCTGTAGCTTCGGCGATGATTCTTATGTATATTTTTAAAATCCATACGAAAAAATAGAGTACTACAGGAAATGACCGGTCGCCCTAGTATTGCCTGCCTGCTAGGAAAGGGGCAATGGATGTCCCGTAGGAGTCCATACGCCTGGTGCCGCCCCGCACGCCCACCAGACGTCCATTGTTCACGACCAGCTCGCCCGTGGCCATCCAGTTCCTCAATACATTGGCCCACCTTGAACTTGGGGGTTTAAATTCGGAGTTTGCCGTCTGCTAGATGGACTGCTGTGTGAAGCTAACAGGTTCTATCTACCCGGACTTCTCCCAGAAAGAAGGCAACATTTTGCTAAATCCCATGGACGTTAGGAAACTTTCTGCACTCCTAAACATCTGCTACACTGTGAAGCCCTTGTTGACAAGACTCTTCCTGAAGTTAAATACACTAGTTGATTTATTAAAAGGCTCCACCTTTGAATAGACACCACCCCAGGAATCACTTATAATGCCGCAAGGATAGCTATACACTCCAGCTCGCCTGTTGTTTCTACCACAGCCAGTGTAACCAACGAGGCAACAAGTAAAGAAACCTGATGTTCTCGAGTATCCAGCGGTGAAAAACATTGCCGTCATGCGTTTGAACTGGTAAGAGGTTTAATTTAAGCGATGAAAACCGATTGAATGCGCACAGTTTTTGCCTTGAAATAATCATGGTTGCTAGCACTCAGAAGAAGATACTGGTAATCTGGTAATCTTAGTTCCAGCATCATAACAAACGGGTCACCCCATAGTTGCTCCGCTCCTGTGCCAACGAAAAACACACAGCATGTTTATCACAGTTCCTTGTGGAAAGATTCACAGACTGCTGTCTAGTATATGCACTAGCATACACACGCATTAAAAGCATGCGGCAGCCATCTGAAGTGCTAACACAAACAGTCCGACATTAGAAATGCAGTTCATCATGGATGGTAGCACTAGAAGAAGTCACCAACAGATCTGCAGTTGCACACACAATCAATTTTAATCACATAATGGCACCACCAATATTGCGACAACAGGCATTTTTCTGAATCTACAATTCACACCACCACGTTGGTCACAGTAGAAAAACATTCAAAATGAAATCTGCAGCTCGCAGTGTCGCTCAACTCAGAAGCTGGGTAACAAAACTATATCTTTTCAGTTTACAAATGGAGAAAAAATGCAATGGCCACCATCTGGCAGAAGCAAACAATTTTCTATGGCTCAAAACAGTGGCCGTGCCTAGCATCCATTTTGACCGGAAGTCAGTAGAAGAAACTACAATAGGTATGCCTAGAATAAAGAAACTACAATAGGTATGCCTAGAATAAAGAAACTACTCTTTATGTGAATAGAACATTACCTATCACCTGTCAGTATCTACATCCTATCATATCAGTCTGACCCACTCATGATCTGTCATCTGATGCAGCAGCCATTTCAGTGTCTCCAAGCTCAACAAACCCAGCCTGGCACATCTTCTTCCTTTGCCTGGCAGCCGGAGCTTGCATACTTCTCCTCCTTTAGTACCCACGTCCCATCGGCAGTTCATTGCCTCTGACTCATTTGTCTCAACATCTCTGAAATGGAGCACATTTAATACATCTGCCCTGTCCCTACTTCTTCCTCCAATAACTACTGTAGAGATGGCCAGTATTTCAGCTCTTTCATTTCCTTTCACTCTGGCATGAACTAGTGAGTACAGCCAGTTTCTTGAGGCAAGACTTCTGTCAACCCATTCTAATTGGAGTTTGCCAGTTTGGACTGAAGAGAACAAGAAACAAGTGTAGATGTGCCTGGAATAAAAAAATTACTATACATAATATGTATGTATAAAACAGATGTCCACACTTACAAAGATCAACTCACAGTGCAAATATCTAGAGCAATGGAAAACTGAAACATGGCTTCCAGTTTGATGTCTGTGTTATGAAGAATGTCCTCAAGACTTCCTTTGCTACAGTACTCCCAAAGGACGCAGATGTTGGGGGTCTCTGTGCAGGCTCCATGGAAGGTGGCTAGGTTGGTGTGTTTTAGTGACTTCATCTATTGAATAGTTGAATAATGTTAGACATTTTTGTTGTTATTGTCATTTCAGTTTCCATGATAGGATTAATTGAATGGGTGAGTCTGAAAATGTGTGGCACTGCAAAAACTTTAAAATATATGTTATCTCATTTTAAAAATTCTCTCATCTTGAATAGCATTCTGAAAGATTAACAGCTAGTGACTCAAGGTGACAGTGTTCAGATGAGAATCAAAGACAAGCAAATCTTATAATCTCTGGGAAAGAGAGATTAACAGAGAGATACTATGAAAGAGAGATTTAAATATGGAGGGGAGAAAGAGAGATAGGATGGAAAAAGGGGGTAAGGGTGGTGAAGAAAGGAGGAAGAAAATGAAGTAAAAAGAGAAAGAGAACGGGGAGAGAGAAGGAGGGATATAATGAGAACATTCATTCATTCATTCAGTAGCATGTCCCTCGCGGAACCTCGCTGCCATAACAACCCTCCGGAAAACCTTCCTATCCTGAGCAAGATGTCCTGCGTCTGATACACCCATCTGGAGATCATCTGCCACATCCTGCACCCATCTTCTCCTTGGCCTTCCTCTTCCTCTCTTCCCAGGCATATACCCCTCCATTATTGTTCTCTCTAGACTTCCATGACGTTTCAAGTGACCAAAATATTTCAATTTTCTTTGTTTTATTGTCTTTACTAGCCAACCCTCTTCAATATTCAGCTCTTGAAGTATGGATGCATTTGTTCTTTTCTTTACCTAAGATATTCTTAGAACCTGTCTGTAACATTTATATTCAAATGCATTTATGCGCTGTTCCGCTTGTTTAGTAAAGTGTCCAGGTCTCACAGGCGTATGTTGCAATGGGAAAGATGCATGCTCTTAAAAATCTGACCTTTGTAATTCTATCTGTACAATTCCATAATTTATTCAGTTGTTTTAGTCTTTGAAGAGCAATTGATAGTCGCCGTTTAATTTCTTTCATTGTGTCACCATTGTTGGTAACCAGTGACCCAAGATATTCGAAATTTTCCACCACTTCCAATCTTTCCTCATTAACATATATTTCCTTCTCCATGGCAGTTTTTGTTTGTATGCATTATCTTTGTTTTTGCTATGTTAAGAAATAAGTTATGATTTTCACTATTTCTTTGGAGTGAGGTTAATAAGTTTTCTAAACCATTTTGTGATGATGTGATAGTAATACTGTATCATCAGCATAACGAATTTCTGGTATTTCATGACCACCGATGTTTAGGGCATCATATTGTTCCCTGTTTATATCATCTCTTACATTTCTCATTATATTTTCGGCGTACAGGTTGAACAAATACGGTGACAGCACACATCCCTGACGGACTCCTTGCTTGATGCCAAACCAGTCTGATGTCTCTCCATCTATTCTGACTGCTGCTTGTTGGTCTTGATAGAGCATTTTAATGAGCTGCACTATATGTGATGGAAAGCCAATATTCCTCATGATTTCCCAAAGCTTCTGATGTTGTACACAGTCAAATGCTTTTGAATAATCCACAAAACATAAGAACAGATTTACATTAAATTCTCTACACTTCTCTATTTATTAAACGCATGTTGAATATATGATCTCTTGTTCCTCTTCCCTGTCTAAATCCAGCCTGAGCTACATTAATCTCTTCTTCCATTTTCTTATGCAGTCTTCTCATTATAATTTTTAGTAGAATTTTACTTGCATGACTGATCCAGGGCAATAGTTCGATAGTTTGTACATAATTTCAGGTCACCCTTTTTGGTATTGGAATGAAGATAGTTCTCTTCCAGTCTTTTGGCCAAAATACCATATTTCCATATCTTTTCACATAATGCATGATAGATTTTTATGCCTTTCTCTTCTCCCCCGCTTTAATCAATTCAGCTGGTATCTCATCACATCCAGGTGATTTACCATTTTTCAGGCTCCTTAATTGCCCATGAAAATTTCATCTAATGAAGGTTCAGGTTCTGCCTCTACTGTTACTGGTTCATGTATATCATTCATATCCTCACTGTCATTCATATCATACATTCCGCTGCAGTATTCCTGCCATCTTCCTAGAATTTGTCTAGATTCTGTTTAAAGTATTTCCCAACCTGTCACAAATAACATTTAACTGAGGTTGAAAATTTCTTGTCAATAACTTCATTTCCTTGAACATTTCGATCGAAATGGCCTTGGTCCTCGGGTAAGCTTTTTGAGTTTTAATTTCAGATCTGCTTCTAGTAACTGATGATCTGTATTGCAATCTGCACTTCGCAGGGTTTTTGCAGATGTTATGCTCGATCTCCATCTTCTTTGTATTAAAATGTAATCTATCTGATTTTTGGTAACACCGTCAGGGGATGTCCATGTGAAAAGCCTTCTAGGGTGTTGTTTATAAAGTGTGTTAGCTATTGTTAATTCATTTTCTATGCAAAATTCAATCAATTTTTCTCCTGTTTCATTTCCATTACCCAATCCAAATTTTCCTAAAATGTGTCTCTCATTTTCAGCTCTGCCTGTACCTACTTTAGCATTAAAATCTCCCATTATTATTATTATATCATTCTGATTAATTTTATTTAATGTGTCTTGCAGTATGGCATAAAAATCTTCAATTTCGCCCTCCTCTGCTGTTGAAGTTGGTGCATATACCTGCATGAAAGTTATTTTTTTTGGACGGCCTTTAAGTCTGATAGTTAGGATTCTATCACTAACTGGATTATATCCCATAATAGCTTTTGCTGTTGTTTTATCTAAACAAAATGCCACTCCGCTCTGGCCTCTTACATCTCTACCAGAATATACGAAAAAGCTTCCATAAAATGAGAACAAGGGGGGAGAAATATGCACGAAGAGAGAAAATAAAACACAATGTCATCAGGCATTGTTTCCCCTTAGGTAATGTGTAAATTCTGGTATACATTTCGAGACCTCAGATGTTGGGTTTGTGCACTGAGCTGAGAATTTCGTAATGTGGTCTGAAGGAGCACACTGGAATGTTTCACATGCAAAGAAGATGGTCCTTCAAATCTTGAAGCCCTCATCAACACATCAAGTGTGACCAACTTTTACCATTTAATGAACATAAGACTGTATTTTTCCAGGACATGTAGAAGTTATGGCAGTTACAGTGCCACCATTTGAGCATCACCAGCAATATAAAAGTGCGCCAAAAGTGAACCTAGCTCAACCGTCCGATAAGCCACTTGTGTCTTTTGTCACCCGCTAACTACCCATTCGTAGCCTGATTCTCGATAGCTAGATACTGGATAATACTCGCTTGATATTTGGCTGAGTTTATCTCGACTACGCTATCGGGGTCGTCTGCGTTTGCGTTATTAGCAGCCCGTGAGCACACCATTGTTGAGGAGCCAGTTGTAGCATCCATTTGTGAACGATTGTCTCGTGAACTGCGGAGAAAGCACGCTTGGTGTTCTTTTTAGAGCACTTAACAAGCCTTGTCGACTCTGCAGGGATCGAGCTTTCGATAGCCGCCTGAGAATTACTGCTTCTACCAGCCACAGCTGCACTAAATCATGGCCTGTGGCAAGAAGAATCCTGTCCAGCGCCGAGATACCAGGGCGACCTCAGCCAACAAGGAGGAAGCACCTGTCGTCGCACCAGCCCTGACGATGCCAGAACTGGTCGATTATCCAGAAGAGACGCCAGCCTCACTCAACCAGACGCCGCCAGCCCTGGATGTAGGCCCTATCGAGGCGCCAGTATACTTTGAAGCCGCCCTAGTCGTGGCGCAGGAAGCCATTAAACCCGCCCACTCAGGCAGCAGCATCAGCAACAACCGGGAACCCACAGTACAGAGATCCTGCAGTGCTCACGCTGTAACAAGGCGTGGCACACAGCCGCAGCAGCCCATCGTGCCGGTACTGCTCCAAGCCGCATGACTTCAAGGAGTGTCTCTTGGCCAAGATGGACACTGACTTCAGAAAACCCAAACGCCAGCCGGAGGTGCTCCAACTGCTCAGGAGCACACAGTGCGAGATACATGGGTTGCCCGTATAAAAAAGAGTGCAGGAGAGCTCTGATGACCACCACCACCAGCAGAGTAACCACCCACCCTGCAGCAAAAAAAAGAGATACGAGGCACCCAACACAACCAGAAATCAAGGAGAAGCTAGACTCGTCGCCACCACTGAATTAGCAAAACTCCGGAGCGAGCTAGCATTGATGAAAACCGAGATCAAGGCCCTCAAGAAAAAAAAAAGCAGCGACAGACCGTAAACGAATGGAAGCAAGAGACGAAATGACAACCCTCCGAGGCATCCTGCAAGAAATACTAGAAAACCAGAAGCGACTGAAAGTGGAGGTGACTGATATAACAGATTTCAAGATAAACGCAATGGCCTTGCTAACTGAAACCAAGATGCAGAACAAACAAAACGCAGTAGAGGAGACCAGACGCACAGAGCAGCACAACTCAATCACCTCACTCCTATCAGAAGTCGATTCAATCAAGAAAACGCTCAAATTAACAGAAGAAAAATTAGCCAAAAACCAAAGAGGACAACGCACAGCTACGGATGGATTTGCTAACAACCAACAAAGTGATGGAAACAAGAGAGATCGCAAGAAAGGAAGAAGAAAGACAACAAACCCAGCCAAGCAAAACAACGGAGAGCCAAGACAACAAACCCAGCCAAGCAAAACAACGGAAAGCGAAGACAACAAAAACCTAAAACTGGAGCTGGACGATATCAAAGAAGGAATGAATGACAACTTCGGAGTAATGTTCAAAAAAGTCAGATATCTCAAGGAAGCTACCAGTCAACTACAACTAGACAGCATCAAGAACAACAAAAAAAAAATAGCTGCTCACACACAAGGAAATGGAGCCCACGCAGCGAAATAAACAGACACGCGCGACAACCCAAACAACAAGAAACAAGCGAACCAATGAAAATTCACCCAAGCCGCCATGACAGCTGAACAAACCTGCCCACCAGCCCGGAAAAACCTCCCAGCTCGCAAACAGCCAGGCATGATATCTACAACCAAAAGGACTCCCACCCTACCCGATATAGGCCGCCCCAGGCTATGGCCTGCCCTTTTTAGGGCAGACCGAGATCCCCACCCTACACAACAGAAATCGGATAACGTGACAAACGCTGCAAATAAATCAAAGAAAATTGGAAATCAATTCCAAGCAAACATACGACGCCAAGATAGAGTCGCTGCTCATTATAGGAGCTGACTGAAATTGGCAGGAATCTTTTGTTTTTTTTACCACTACCATGACCATCACAACAAGGATGAAATAATAATTTCTACAAGATCTGATTTTTGTAATATATCTATTTTTGTATGTTTCCAATGAAAAATAGCATAGAAATTCATTGTAAATCTTATGTGCCACCCGACTTAATCTGATTCCATAAGCAAGTAAAGTAGACTAAAGGGCCCTCTGTATAGGGTGACCATAAATCCTGTTTTCACAGAGACAGTCCAGTTTTTCTAAGTGTGTCTTTGCCATCCCCTCGGTACTCTGAAAAAAGGAGCCAGTTCTATTGTTTTGGAAAATCTAGGATTAAGTTTAAAAATAAAAAATACACTTATGGTTATATCTGTAGATCTGATTAGATTTCATAAGCATAGATACTTGTAATGCCTGCAGTATATTTATGGATATTTTTACTGCAGCATGTTTTTATTCATTGCAGTTGAAGAGTGTATTCTTTTGTTTATTTCTAAGTGGCAGTGGTTTGAGTTTTAAGAGCCAGTAATTACCGCATTCATCCTAGTGGCCTAGGAAAAATGGAAAGCGGTTGGTGGGTTGGTGGGGCGGGGGGGGGGGGGGGCAAAGGATGTCCCATTTTCAGCTTAAAATATTAGTGGGACGCTCCGTTTTCCAATAAAAAAATTCTGGTCACCCAACTCCTTAAGCCAGTGGCTAGACTCACATTATTAGAGACCAATCAGCAATTAATGGATGATAGGGTCAACATCATGCTGGCTACCTTTACTTCCCAGTACAATTCCTAGTACCCATTTTAGGCTAGGTAAATGCAGGAGCCACACACAAAAAAGTATGTTTGATTACTTAAGCAGCTAATAATTTATTTCTAACAACAGTATAACTTACCAGTTTCATTTCTTTTAGTAGAAATTTGTCTTCCTTGATGGACTTTTTGTGAACTTTTCGCACAGCTACAAGATCGCCATTTACTTTGGCCACCTGGCAATACAAAATAAGTCATTAAAACATGTATCCAGAGAAACCACGTAATTTGTGTATTTTAGTGGAATTATTTTATGTTTTTGTGTCTCAATATTTGTTGATGTAACTGTAGAAATATACCTGATAAGATTCAGCGAAATATGCCTGAGATACTGCGAAATTTTCCTGGCAGTAAAACTGTCCAACGTATTTTTTGAATCTGCATTGTTTAAATTCACTGCAGAAAACACTGTGTTAACTTAAAACATGTCTTGTTTTGTAAAAATGATAATCACAACTAAAATTCGGCAGGAAGGGTGTGAACTGATGGGTGGGAGTGCGGGTGCAGGAATGTGCTAATTTCTTCACAGTTTACTTACCTGGCAGAGATATGACTGACATTTTCACAATTTAAAGCTATATGTGGTCTAAGAAATATCACATACCCGTTACAACATCTAAGACATCCTACAGTGGTACATGATGATTGCTCAGATCAGACCATCAGGTGAGCTGCGTCTATGAACTTGCATGTCAGCTGCAGGTCCTTCATGGTTCCTCATAGCTTGCTTTGCACACTTTGTTCTTGAGGCCAGGTTTCTTTTCGAAGATTTAGGTAAAATGGTCAGGTCTTCTGAATGTGCTCAGGTGTTTGTGGTCATGTCTGACAGGCACACTGTGGGGACTGTACAGTCTTTTTTTTTTTATACATGTGGTAGTTGAGCCTGTAGTGTCCTGTTCATTGACGGAAAATTGTTGTTTGTGGATTTCTGTTGAGTCTGCTGATGAGGTCTTGTGGATCTTTACTGTTGGTTAGTTCTCTCCACAATTCCTTGTGTTTTCCCTTGATGAGTGTTTTGATTTCTAGTAATGACAATGAATGGATGTGCTGTGTCTCTTTTGTTCCATTTTTCACAAGTCTGCCTGCTAACTCATTACTTGGTATCTAGCATTGAGCCGAGATCCACTGGAGAAGGATTTGATTGTTTTCTGACAGTCTGTTTAGCTTTCCATGTTGTCTCATGGTTCCCTATGAGTCGCCTGGAGGACTGACATGTAGTCACAAGGGAAAACAATTTTACTTTTTTAAATGTTTTTTTCCTCGCGCACTTTGGCTGAATCAATCATTGCTTGTTGCTCTGCTCTGAAGTGTGTCAAGAGTTTTCTGGAGGTGAATGATGTTTCGACTGTGGTCCCATCTTGCAGCATGATGACCGATCCAGCTCCTCTGTTTTTTTCTTGCTCCCTCCAGTGATCCATCGGTGTATACGTCACATTCTTCAGCCTTTCTGTCTATGACTGGGGTTGTTGTTGTGACTGTATAGTTAGGCTGTAGGTTTATGCTGTATGCCTGGATCATTTCCATAACCAGGATTAAAAGAGTTAATGCATTAAACATAAAAGTGCTGCTGCAATAAACATTTTGTGGTGACTACCGGCACCTTTCTTTTTTAAAATAAAGCCCTGAGTGCATCTGTATGTTTGCCAGTTTGTTTTTGAGTTTGTTCATGTGACTAAACAACAGTTTAGAACATCCCTTTAGTGGTCAATTAAGTGCATGACATCATTTGGTTTGCTAAGACATCCCCTGGTAGGACATAAAATTCAATAAACTGAGTTGCAATTGTCACAGCAAAATAAATTGAAGTTAAGTGAATCACCAAACAGAAGCAGTTCCAGTTATCAGACTGGGGATAATTGGTGATAAGTGATTTGTGAGGACTATCATCACACCACTCCAGACAGATCCAAATGTGCTCCGATCTCCTTCCCAGTAGCTCCACAAGAGTAAACTGACTAATCATGATTGCTCTGTATACTAGGGGTGAGTTAAATAAATGTTTGACTAAATATAGCAGTTTAATTTTAAGCTGATAATTTTGTACGGCCTGTGAAGGATATTATACATATCTGTATGATCCTTCAAAGAAGAAAACATCCCTTGCTCCTGGTTTTCTTCTTCATTGCATTCACCAGCTATAAACTCTGGCAGAAGGTTCTGGGTGTTAGTCTACCTCTGGACATTAGTCTTGTTCCAGAACCTGAGTGTTGCGTGCACATCCATTTTACAGATCTGACTATGCAGACTACTGGTTGCTTGCCTCTCAGGCAGATGCACTCTGACTTTGAAAGAAATGCACAGTCTTACAACATGCTTGTTGGAGATCAAGTGGGTCTATTCTTGTTTTCCCCACAATGGGATCCCGAAACCCATACGTGGATGCCCCTGGTCTAAACTATCATGTCTTGTTTTGTTAACTTGTGTTATCTACTATAACTACAGAGTGCTCCCCCTTACCGTGGTAAACATCTGACTGATCATGACCATATTGTCATGCTTGAAGGTCGAGTTGTTGGAAGACATGTTTCCTGTTGAAGATTCCGATCTGTTGTCATCACAATCATTCAGAGACTTCTGACTGCCAGTGATTCCTGAAATACACTGTTATGATAGGGAAGATTATACTTTCATGTTTGCCTGTGTTTCATTTCAACAGGTGGAAGCATACATCTACACCGGCATCAGAGTTGACTGACCTTTATACACGTGAACCCTGACCTTGTCATCCACCTCTTGAACCCTGACAGTGAAACATTTCAAGCATGGGCATGGAGGTGGAGGCAATCACTGCAGCTCTGAAGTGGACAGCAGAAAATAGAGTATTATAGTGTCTGATTCTCAATAGGTACTGCGGATGGTTCAAAATGGGCAAATGTGGCATGATTGGATACCAGGCATCAGCATATCAACATTGGATATACTTCAGGGATATGCGGGAGTGCGAAGAAATATATGAGAGGATTTTCTGGCAACAAAAGCGATAACTACGGGAACACTTGTACTGGAAAAAGGAGACATTCTGAAGACCATTTATGAATGAATGCTGACAGAAGATACAATGTTAGGAAAAAATAGCAAGAGGAAGTGAACAAGGAGTTAGGTGTGAATCAGGCAAGGTTGGATGTTATGATAGGAAAAGAATGACGAGTTTATAATCAGTGTGCTGTGAGAACAGTTAACATTTACACCCTAAAAAATTGCTGTGTGGAGAAGGAGCACAAACAGGTATGCCCTGTGTGCTATGATGTCAATTCTTAAATCAGTAATTAGTGATTAAATTAACTGAAGCATTTCAGTTTCCAAGAAATGATACATCTATGAGTCATTCACATCAATATCCACATCATCAATAATATCAGCATTTCTCCTGTTCTTGGTCCATGACGTTCAAAGAATCTTCCTCTAGTATTTGAAATTGAAAGCTCTGTGATATTACTCTAAGAATACCAAAATTCACCTGGCTTTTATAGCACTAAGATATATGGTGCAATGAAGGAGAAAAAAACCTACCACTAGAAAACTCAAAATACTCAACACTGATGTCACATTAGTACTGCTACGTGGGTCAATCACAGTAAGAGGAAGACAGTGATACAAGTAGAAAGATAAACATCAACAAATGAGGGATGAACGGCAGTCTCAGAGAATGTACAGGCAGGGTGAAAAAGTAATGATGACCCATACTGCCTTGTATGTGTTGACTGAGTTAATGACAACTGTAGAGAAACCTGTCCTTTGTGTGTGTTGAATGAGTCTTTGACAAATGTTGAGAAACCTGACCCTTGTATGTGTGGAATGAATCAATGACCAATGTAGAGAAACGTGTCCTTTGTGTGTGTTGAATGAGTCAGTGACAAATGTAGAGAAACCTGGCCCTTGTATGTGTGGAATGAATCAATGACCAATGTAGAGAAACATGTCCTTTGTGTGTGTTGAATGAGTCAGTGACAAATGTAGAGAAACCTGGCCCTTGTATGTGTGAAATGAATCAGTGACAAATGTAGAGAAACCTGGTCCTTGTATGTGTGGAATGAATCAATGACCAATGTAGAGAAACGTGTCCTTTGTGTGTGTTGTATGAGTCAGTGACAAATGTAGTGAAACCTGGCCCTTGTGTGTGTGGAATGAATCAGTGACAAATGTAGAGAAACCTGGCCCTTGTATGTGTGGAATGAATCAATGACCAATGTAGAGAAACCTGGCCCTTGTATGTGTGGAATGAATCAATGACCAATGTAGAGAAACATGCCCTTTGTGTGTGTTGAATGAGCCAGTGACAAATGTTGAGAAATCTGGCCCTTGTATGTGTGGAATGAGTCAGTGACAAATGTAGAGAAACCTGGCTCTTGTTTATGTTGAATGAATCAGTGACAAATGTAGAGAAACCTGGCTCTTGTTTATGTTGAATGAATCAGTGACAAATGTTGACAAAGCTGGCTCTTGTTTATGTTAAATGAGTCGGTGACAAATGTAGAGAAACCTGGCCCTTGTATGTGTTAAATGAGTCAGTGATAAATGTAGAGAAACCTGGACCTTGTTTGTGTTCAAGGGACCAGTAAAATATTGTTACATACCATCTGAGACAGGGGACCTCTGACAATGTTGAAGTTGAGATCTGTGTACTTGATCTTCCACAAGGTTTCATACAACATCCTCTCATTCTTCCACCATCTGGATCAGCAGAAGATATAAATAACTGTAGGTAGGTATGTAGGTAGGTTGTACCCCACCAGGACATCACACAGAGGGATAAACACCCAGTGACACAAGGTGCCACCATGCGAATGAGGATCACCCTTAGAGAGGTCCTGGAAACCCTGTTCAACTGTTAGACCCTACTAAAGGGCCCGGGCAAAAGTCAGGGTGGGGCTTAAAAAAAACAAAAACAATTGGGGGACGACAGTGTGTTAACTAGTATTTAATTAACTGTCTATGGATGGGTGGCTGCTTATGTGTCCTGTATCACTGATGTTGGTTTCATGTTCATGAAATGACTCATAGTGGAAGACAGAAATTATAATTGTGATGATTATATCTTCTTCTTCTTTTGTCATCTCACTGATGCCAGGTTGTAGCCTGTGTCATGGTTTTGTCCTCTTACTAATGCCAGGTTGTAGCCCAGTGTCATGTTTTTGTCGTCTCACTGATGCCAGGCTGTAGCCCAGTGTCATATTTTTATAATCTCAGTGATGCAAGGTTGTAGCCAAGTGTCATGTTTTCCTGTCTTGCATTTCTTGGGTGGCTTGTGCGATGGATTTGTTCATCTTTATGCAGGTTTCAGTGACACCATTTATCCATCCCTTTCTTGGCCTTTTCATCTCCCCACCTCCCCTCTCCCCTAGAGGTTCTGTTGTGAAAAATCTCATATGCAGCTTGGTCTGGCTGCATTCTCACTAGATGGCCAAACCATTTCATTATTTGTCAGTCAGCTTAGTTCAGACATGGTCTTATTCCAACTTTCTATCTCATGCTGGTATTCATAGCCCAGAATCTTCTTGTATAATCGATTACTATGTCGATGGTAGTAAATGGTAATGGTGGTAGCAGCAATGATGGTGATTATGATAATGATGGTAATAACAGTTAAAAAAAAAGTATTACCAGGCCGGTAGATGTGTGTTAATATTAAAGATTATAATGAATTGACAGCATTCAGAAGTTCAGCGTCAAGAAACTATATTGACTGTACACATCAGTGTAAAAGTAAATCAAAGAGGCAATAGAATGGCCGTGTCTGCAGTGGGTAACAGATGAAGACTTATGGACAGGGTAGACATACTGAATGCACTGTGTCCAGAGTTGTTGAGACAAAGAAGTCAGAGACGAATCACCTGCTGGTAATAGGTATTAAACTATGACAGAAGAAAATAGCAAAGAAATAAAGATATGCCAGTCAACTCCTATTAAGTATGTTGAGTATGGAGACACTAAGATGGCTGCTACAATTAAGGACGGAGCACATATGGATTGGATCAATGTGCTATGATGTCTATACAGATAAGATGTAACAAGTAATAATAAAGATGACACATGAGTCTTGTGTAATATGTCCCAAACCAAGCTCACAACTTAACCCCCTCTCCCCCCCCTTCCCCTACCCAATGAGACTGAGAAACTATACCGGTACACAAGACCAGAACTGCAACTTTACACCTGTGGGTAGGCAAGGTAGTTTCAAGATGGGCCACCCAACAAGAGATCCTCTAAGATAATGATAGATGGATGTGGCCCTCCTATTTTAGTGACACATAAAATACACATACAGTGTATTGCATGTTACATAACTCACAGCAATGACAGAATATACAGTGACTGCACAGTTCACAGCCAAGGTAACATTCATAGTAATAGTACAGTTCACAGTGAGCAATAATTCACAGCAGTAGGATAATTCACAAAGAGAAAGAAAAATTCACAACAATAGGATACATCACACAGAGATAGAATAATTCATAGCAATATAATAATTCACACAGAGCTAGAACAATTCCCAGCAAAAGGATAATTCACACAGAGATAGAACAATTCACAGCAATAGGATAGTTCACACGGAGATAGAACAATTCACAGCAATAAGATAATTCACACGGAGATAGAACAATTCACAGCTATAGGATAATTCACACAGAGATAGAACAATTCACAGTAACAGCACAATTAAAATGTAGCTAGAAAGGACAGGATCAGAAATGACGACATTAGGACAGAAATTGGGATGGAACCAGCATCAAGCTTCACCAGAAGACGACAAATCAAATGGTCTGGACATGTTTCAAGACTGTGACAGAATAATAATAATAATAATAAGAAGAAGAATAGATAAAATTCACAGTGCCAGTACACTTCTCAGTGACAGCACAATTCACTGTGATATAACATTTTCCACAGTGATAGCACATTTCAAAGAGCACACATGTCAGTGACAACACGGATAAATAGCCTACTATTGTCAGCCTACAGACTACCCTTCTGGATGCAAAGAATACTAATCCCTTGCCGCCAAGAAGCTGTACTGTTATTAATTACATAATGTAATGAAGGTGAAACAAAGGGTGATGATGATGGAAACCTACCTGTAGATGAGCAGGACTGCAATAAAACCAACCAGCATGATGAGAACTACCACTGAAGGAGCTACTTTCTCAGATAGACTATCTGTGGAATAGGCATTTATCATCATCATCATCGATACAACAACGACCACCACCACTGGCATCATTGTCATCATATTAGCATCATCATTGTCATCACCTCCACCATCATCATGGCAGTCATCACCACCACCACTGCCCTTATCATCATCATCATTATCATTAACAACATCATTATCATCATCATTACTATGATAACCATCATCATAACCACCACCACCACAATCATCATCATCATCCCCACCACCATCATATTCATCACCACCACCATCACCATCATCATCATCACCGCTATCATTACCAACACTAACACTAGCATCATCATCCCCAACACTATTATCACCACCACCACAATAATCACAAACCAAGGGTAGCTTGTACTGCACAAACTCTGACACTACACCACCCTCCCCTGCCAACCACACTCTCCACACCCATAAAAGTCTTGACTATGTCTTTCTATTATATTTTTAATGTAGTCTTCCTCTTCTTTGCTTCCTTATGGTCATATATAATTTTCTTTCAAATAACTGCGTGAAGAGTAAAGTGGGTGATAAGAGCAACTTGTCAGCCCACCACAGTAGGCTAGAGCCTAGAAAATATGAAGGCCTAAATCTTCACACGACAGCCAGACAGAAGAGGCACATCGGAGGTACACAAAGTCTTGTTGTCTATCACAGGACAGGCACTATCTATCTCAGGGCACTGATGTATGTGTTGAAGGGGAAACCTGGTCGACCGTGAACGTATCACAAGTTCCGTGAAAATAGCTCAACCCACAAAGGACAATTCATATTGCCACAATACCATATTAAAGCTCATAAAGTAATAGGAGGATCTGTAAGAAACGTTTAATTAAAAGATTTACAGTCGATGGGTAGAAATGACAAACTACTCTTTTTTGAGAGAGATAATGATAGAACTCAGAAAACTAATGACACATTGCAGAAAGAGCTAATGACAGAATAAAGAAAGCTAATGATAGAATTTAGAGAGAGAGCCAATGATATTATTTATAGAGAGCTAACGACAGAGCTGAGAGGGAAATCACTAATGACAAAAACTTGAGAGAGTTCATGGAGGAACTAAGAGAGCTAATAGCAGAATTGAGACAACTAATGATAGAACACAGACAACTAATGATAGAACTGACACAGCTAATGATAGAACTGAGACAGCTTATTTAATCTTTTGCTGTGTCAGCTCTATCATTATCTGTCTCAGTTCTATCATTAGCTGTCTCTGTTCTTTTGTTAGCTGTCTCAGTTCTATCATTAGCTGTCTCAGTTCTGTCAGCTGTCTCAATTCTATCATTAGCTGTCTCAGTTCTATCAGCTGTTTCAGTTCTATCATTAGCTGTCTCAGTCCTATCATTAGCTGTCTCATTTCTGTCATTAGCTGTCTCAGTTCTATCATTAGCTGTCTCAGTTCTATCATAAGTTGTCTCAGTTCTATCATTAGCTGCCTCAATTCTATCATTAGCTGTCTCAGTTCTATCATTAGCTGTCTCAGTTCTATCATTAGCTGTCTCAGTTCTATCATTAGCTGTCTCAGTTCTATCATTAGCTGTCTCAGTTCTATCATTTGCTGTCTCATTTCTATCATTAGTTGTCTCAGTTCTATCATTAGCTGTCTCAATTCTATCATTAGCTGTCTCAGTTCTATCATTAGCTGTCTCAGTTCTATCATTAGCTGTCTCAGTTCTATCATTAGCTGTCTTAGTTCTATTATTAGCTGTCTTAGTTATATCATTGTCTCAGTTCTATCATTAGCTGTCTCAGTTCTATCATTAGCTGTCTCAGTTCTATCATTAGCTGTCTCAGTTCTATCATTAGCTGTCTCAGTTCTATCATTAGCTGTCTCAGTTCTATCATTAGCTGTCTCAGTTCTATCATTGGCTGTCTTAGTTCTCTCATTAGCTGTCTTAGTTCTATCATTGGCTCTTAGTTCTCTCATTAGCTGTCTTAGTTATATAATTAGTTGTCTCAGTTCTATCATTAGCTGTTTCAGTTCTATCACAGCTAATGATACCACCAAGAGAACTAATGATACCACTGATAAAGCTAGTGATATAATTTTGAGACATAATGATAACGTTGTAAGAGGTAATATCATTTTAAAAGCAAATGACAGAGACCTAATTATACACATGTGAGAGCCAATGATACAGACCTAATGATATATATGGGAGATTTATAATACATACTACTAACATACATACATACATCATACATACATACATACATACATACATACATACATACATACCTACATACATACATACATACCATACATACATACATACATACATACATACATACATACATACATACATACATACATACCATACATACATACATACATACATACATACATACATACACATACATACATACATACATACATACATACATACATACCTACATACATAAATACCATACATACATACATACATACATACATACATACATACATACATACATACATACATACATACACTACATACATACATACATACAT